GCCACCATCAGCGTCAGCTCTGAAGATGTTTGCAGCCGCGAACAAAACGTCAGCAACGTAAAGAAAAACCGTATCTGTGTTTAAAAAAGAACCAAAAATGGAATTTAATACATTCATCTACACTGACACTGATTAACCCTTTTTCACTCATGTACACAGATGCACACTAAAGGCGGCTCGTGAAGGTCAACATTAAAAGCGTCTACTCTCGGCCACTCACATTCCTCTGGTTTCTCAGCTTGCGGCTCTCAGTAGATCAAAGGACAGACGAGTCTTTCTATCGCTCGGCTCTCCTTCACCCCTCCTCTTCCTTCACTCTCTCTTCCTCCTGCTATTGCTCATTCAACAAACTCATCTCGCATGCACACAGACACCCCCCCTCCCTAAATAACACCACTAATATGTGTCAACAACCCAATTCCATGTTTCCTAGTTTTCTCTTCATCACTGACTCAGCTGAACTTTAACAATTGGTGAAATTCTTTCTCGTCTTTTTACCTCCCTGCCGTCACCTCTGTCCTCTCCCTCGCCCCTCCCGCCCCACTCTCTCACAGTTTGGCGGTTCCTGTTGCTCTTGTTTTCACTTCCCCAGTAGTCTGGTGCGTGGGAACCAGCGTTTCAGCTGCAGCAGAGTCTACAGCTGAATGCGAGTGTGACCGTGTGCCTTTGAAGGTGCCTGTGTGTACGAGCTGATACCATCAGTTTGATGTGTTTGTCACTGCTCACTTGTTTAGATCATGTACTGGGTATCTCTCGGATAATCTCAACATGTCAAGAAAAAAAGGTTCATCTGATGCAACCTAATGGAATCGTGAGCGAGTGTGTACATGTACGTGATATTTAGGTGGAGCAGGCACTAGTGGTGGGAATAAAAAAGCAGCTATAACCAATCTGTAGGAATGCTGTGATATGTTTATAATTACATGGAACAGAGTATTTAAAAACATATTCATTTCAGTTATATTTGTTACAGCAAACTACAGCTTTGTTTCAGAAAATAAAAACCTAAATTTCCTCTAAAATCACAAAAATAATAGGCTCAGTAGTTCATTTGATAGACTACTGACATGTAAAACTAACCTAATCCAATCATCAAGCAGCTACATTTGAAGAACAACCCGTCATCCTAAAAAACAATAACACCAAACAAAGGCTTTTGTGATTTATTTACATATGCTCAGTGTGCTACAACTATTGTATTATATTACAGTATAAACCAGTTATAGTGTGAAATTTTCAACCTATGTAGGTATTTAGACAGCAGAACGTAATCATGTTTTCCTGTTTGAATTCACATTTTCCTGCTTTTCAAAATCCACAAAACAGCAGGTTAGGACCATAAAAACAAATATTATGCGTGGCACTAAATAGCAGAAACTGCTGTTATCAGCTTGTGTTGCTAGCTGTGTAAAATGTCAATGATTAATAAATCTCTAAATGCCTCTAAAGTTTCCCAGCTGTGTATCAATAAACACGTGAACACAAGCTAGAAAATAATCCCTTCTCTCTTGGTTTCAGCTCCTGCTTCCTCGTGGCATTCATCACCGCTGTACGAGAATGGGAGCGAGACAGACAGGGACAAAGGGAGGGAAACTGACCCGTCCACAGCTAATCAGGGAGCTTTACAATCAGATAACAAAGGGGTTAACTTTGCCTGGGTGGGCCACGGAGCAGCTCATGGGGTGCTTGGTCTCTGCAACGCAAACACTCACACAGCGTTCAACGTTAAGAGGAAGATTTTAGTGCCAAAGTTGAATTATGTCTTATTGTGCTAAATATGACCAGTATTGTCATTGTGGACATAAGGATGCATGTTTTCATTGTTTTAAAATTTGTGTGAACGTTGTTACGACCCAATCTGGCCACCATTTAGCCTTGAGGTGTGAGGAGTGTTTTGTAGTTAAGTGCTGTATTATGAAAGATCATTTATCGTGTGTGTTTGTGTGTGTGTGTGTGTGTGTGTGTGTGTGTGTGTGTGTGTGTGTGTGTGTGTGTGTGTGTGTGTGTGTGCATCAGCAGCATCATGCGTATCACCAGAAAAGGAGGTGTCATCCAGGTGTTCCCAGTTTTAATATTTTGTTCCTGACAGAGACACAGCTGGTGGCTCTTCCCCACACATTTTGGCTAGGAGAGGGCCAGAACACACAAGTTTACCGACCGTTTTACAAGATACCCCCTCCAAGTCACCACCAAACAAACACAAACACAGCCACCCACACTCACACACAAACGGAGCTTCTCCTAACAGCCACCCACAGAGACATCTACAGGTCAGGTAGAGTAAATCAGTCAAAATGGGGTTTTCCATCTCCATAATATGATAAAAGATTTTCTTAAAAATCCTTAATGTTCATTTAAGCCTATCAGTTTATTAGTGAAAACTTTATCCTCATTTTTGGTTAGCATCTGACCTGCTAATACACTGCAGGCAGACACCTGTGTGAAAACCATGCAGGAGTGAGTCTGAAGTGACTATGAAGTAGGGCTGGGCAATAATCGTTATCGAAATTTCGGACTCTTATCGAGATAATTTATCCCCGTCAATAAATTTTATAATAAAAAATTAAACGTTGATGTTGACGTAAAAATTGACTCAATGTAGGGCTGGGCGAAATGGCCAAAACTCAATATCACAATATATTGAGGATTTCACCTCGATAACGATAAATGAACGATAACTACAAGTATGTGCAGAAACAAAAGTTGTCCACTAGATGGGGCTGTCACATGTATTACATTGAGTGGCATTTTTTCCATGCCTCAAGGTGGTAATTTCTTAAAGGGACATAAATGTTGCCAACGTACACACACCTTTTCATTTTTTATCGTCAAATTTATTGACATGGGAAATATTATCTCGATAAGAGTCAGAAATTTTGATAAAGATAAATTTTCGATTTATTGCCCAGCCCTAACTCAAGGTAATACACGTGACAGCCCCATCTAGTGAACAACTTTTGTTTCTGCACATATCTGTAGTTATCGTCCATTCATCGTTATCGAGGTGAAATCCTCAATAAATCATGATATTGATTTTAGGTCATATTGCCCATCCCTACTATGAAGTGTAACAATAACCAGTAATAATACTGATGATTAATGATCTAATCAGTGTGGTAATTCACTGAAAATATTCAAACTTTGTTTTGAGAACTGCCAAACCATTGAAACAGTAAAAATTAGGCCATGATTCAGTCATTTAAAAAAACGTGTTTACACCAAGTGGTGTAACCTCAGGCTGACCCGTGTCTGATGCAGGTTTTCAAACACACGTAAACCTCCAAAAAGAAAACAACTGACTCGTTCCCCATCGCCAGGAGCAAAGTGGATCTTGTCTGACTCTCATTCCTAACAGGTAGCAGTAACTGTCTCGTATTCAGGTAATTGATGTTTTGAAAATGAAAACAGAGAAATAATGACAACTCTCCAGGTTTAAGCTCTTGGTGTCACACTGAATCACCACCAACTGCTAAGAGCTTAAAGTCTTTTATCCCTCCTCACAATCTTTTCCTCATCCATCCCTGGTTGTTCCAGCACCAGAACAGGTTGAGGCTCTAGTGGCAGCAAGCTGAACAATGTAATCCAGACGTCTTTCTTCCCCACCACATCCTGCAGCCACTGGTGGGGGACTTGGAGCATTCCCAAACCAGATGGGAAATGCAATCCCTTTCTCTGTCTCTTGGGTCTGCTTTAGGGCCCCCTCCATCTGGACATACCCTGAATACCTCCACAAGGAGGCCACCAGGAGGTAGACTAAATAGATAGTCAAACAACCTTAATCTGTTACTTTCCTCATGCAGTTCTTTTCACTACAGCAAAAATATGTGAAATGAAGTGGTTTTTGTCTCTCCGTATCACTACCACCACAAAAATCTCACGTAACGCCCACATTACTGCAAAACATCATAACAATCCTTTTCTCATTCCATCTTTTTTGCTGACTTTGATGTTTTCCACCCTGAAAATCACAAAGAAACAGTCCTAATGCTCTATGATAACTTTCTTTAGAGTCATTTCTGCATTAAGAGCTGAGGTATGCCAAATTTGGTTCAGGCTGTTTAAGGTTTCCCACAGCCTTTTGTCTCTGACTGACATAAGAAACATAATAAGAAACATACCATTTCACCACCTAATAACTTATCCTTTCTTATAAACCACCCTCTTCTGCATTCAGTCTTCATTTAGCAACAATATACAACCACAAGTTTTGTTCTGATAAATTTGGGAACTCAGCATGTTTTTAAAACCACAGAAATACTTCCTTAGTATTAATTTTCCTAGAACTTCCCTCCAATATAAAAATCGTATTCCTCTTTCTCACACACTCATGTGCAAAATGTGCTTTTATTGTATATGCACCTAAGATCTGGAATACTTTGCCTTTAGAGAAGAGGGAAGCCGCTACACCAAATATTTTTAAGATTAATTTTAAAACTTTTTTATTTGAACAAACAAATGGTTAGGCTGTATTATTTCTAATTTATATCCTCCTTTTATAGATATAGTGTTATTCATAGATAAGCGCTTACAATTATGTTTCACATTCATAATTTTATGGCCGTGTATGAATGTGTGTGCAAATGCATGTGTAAATGTTTGTGAGTGTGTGTGTGTGTGTGTGCATGTTTGAATGTATAGGCTTTAGTTTTATGTGTATATTTTATGTATGTATACACCATTTGCTGTTAAAGTGTGTACATATTTTATAATTGATTGTTTTGTTAAGTCTCTTTTACTGTTAAGCACATTGAGTTGTTACCATGCAGGAAATGTGCTCTATAAATAAAGTCATTCATTCATTCATTCATTCATTCATTCATTCATTCATAAACCACAATGCAAAACAGATGTTCAATCAAAACAAATGGAGTAACTTTGGAAGCCACTTGTGCATTGTGTCTTTTGTTTTTGGGTGATTTTGTGAATCTGAGCTGCAAATCTTTACATTTAGGAGTGTAGGACGCCCAGAGAACATCACCAAAATATGAAAACATTCATACCTGACAGCGGCTGAAGATGTCGCCGGGAGTGGGCTGGATGTTGAAGTGTCGGAGGACCCGAACAGCCTGGTCTTTGGCCTTTTCTGAACAGTCCAGGGACAGACAACGACCCTCGCCCACCTGAGAGCGCAGCTAGACACAAAAAACAAGACTTTTGAAGAAGCAAACAAGAAGGGGTACGCTTTACTCGACTGCATCAAAGAAACTGCATTATGAATGTGATGTGAATTCAGGTGTACCCACAGTTTGATACGGCTGTCCACACGTGAGGATGACACGGCCTTCAGCTTGTGCTAACTGAGACAAAAAAGAAAACAGTGACATATTAGTGTCTACGGATTTAAAGACGGTAATGGTGAATGGCCTGGGGGTGGCTCAGGAGGTAGATCGGGTTCTCCAGTAATCAGTAGGTTGCAGGTTTGATCCCGGCTCCCACCAGAGATTGCTGCTGTTGTGTCCTTGGGCAAGACACTTAACCCATCTTGCCTGCTGGTGGTGGTCAGAGGGACAGGTGGCGCCTGTGCTCGGCAGCCTCACCTCTGTCAGTGCACCCCAGGGCAGCTGTGGCTACATTGTAGCTCATCCCCATCAGTGTGTGAGTGTGTGTGTGTGTGTGTGTGTGTGTGTGTGTGTGTGTGTGTGTGTGTGTGTGTGTGTGTGTGTGTGTGTGTGTTTGTGTGTGTATGTGAATGGATGGATGAATGAATGATACACTTAACTGTAAAACGCTTTAGAGTCCTTTGACCCAAAAAGGTGCTATACAAGTGCAGGTCAATTATCATTTTTGCAGAGGTAATGATGGATTTTTTTTCTTTCTATTAAAGCCAAAATTTTATATGCATTTCTTCCTTCTAACCTTTGCTGCAACTCTGTGATCATCGGTGTTCTCCAGCATGACCACATCCACCCCCAAACAGCGCAGATACCGTCCGAGTCCTTGCAGCATGTTGTCACACACCACCCGCAACTGCTGAGGGGGGAGAGCGGGCGGGGGATCTTCTGAGGGCATCTTGCCACACAGGAGGCCTTTCTCCAAGTCAGAACTAGAGGGACTGACCCTTTGAGCCCCCTGACATTCCTAAAAGGACAGAGGGAATAATGTGATACTTAACCGAACCCTGCTGGGGGATTTTCCTTTCACTTGCACCGCGGTTCAGAAAGGTCAAAGCACAGGGTGGATTATACAACTGCACCCCTGGAGCTGATAGGAACTGGTGAAGTGTGTTTGTGTCCCTGCCTGCAGACTGGATGCTAAAAGCCCTGCATCTTCAGCTGGAGGTTCTGTTTGTATCCAGATGTCACAAAAGAGTTTGCAACTTTTCATAGAAGAAAATATTGTCAAATTAGTACAGTAATAAAGGGTTTTCCTTCATGGTTTCAATTTGTGAAACTCGGGATGATTCAAATGAATCAGAGTTTGCCAAGGCTGATGTCAAGTTCTACATGGTTGAGCACTGATGTGATGTTTGGATCAAAAAAGGTTGTCATAAATGCAACCAATAAACTAGTTAAAACAAGGAAGTGTTGTTAGTCCATGTATTTATGTATAGCAGCAGCCGTAATCAACACAGAATGTCTCAATTAAATTTATCTGACTTCATAAAACAAATGATGTCCACAAAACCTAAAGAAAAATAAGTGAACTCTGCTGACATCCAGCAGAGCAGTGAAGAAGCGGCAGTTGAACCCTAACCTCTTCGCCAAGAGCCTGCTTTGTCATCTTCCCCTGTTTCTCCTTCTGCTTCTTCTCTTTGCTCATCGTTGATTGGCCTGAAGAGACGCTGCGAAGGTCAGCTGGCAGCCCAAAGCACTTTGGGTTGCTGGAGAGAACCGAGTACACGTCCAGCAAACAGTAGGCATCTGCCACTAAAGGCAGGTTGAGAAGCAGGAGAAAGAATGAGGAAGAGGGGGTGTTTTATCGGTTTGTCAGGGGGTAACAAAATAAGCTGTGATACTCTATGGAGAGGAGAACAGCAACCATCTGGCTCCGGGTCATTGTCTGTCTGTGCATGCATAATGCCTCACCTGCATATCTAATTTGGCTGATGCGCAGTGGACGCTTCTCCCAGTTGGACATCTGCTCTGTCTTGTCCAGAGGCTTTCCCAGGACCTGTTGTATCAGCAGACTGAGGCCCTTTTCTGCACAGTCCTCCCCTACAAGCACTTCTTTAGAGCCGTTTTGAACCTGGCTGACTTTAGTTCGCTGGATCTGTAGAACACAACAAAAAAAACTCTCTGAAACATCATTCTGGTCTCACAGTGTAGACATCAGTTACAAAGAAGTTTGCTTTAAAACTTATGAAATTAGGGTTTCACTCTAGCTCTGAAATCACTACTAACAAAGAAACCAAGATGCTCTTAAACAAAATGATGGAAGTAATAAAGAGAGACTTTTTTAAATGAATGACGAGATTACGTTACCTTTTGGTGCACAGTAAGGAGATCAAGTATCCCGTTCATCTTCAAAGGCTCCTCTGATAACTCGGGCCAGTTGGCAGACAGACACCGGAGATCTCCGGCCATACCATAACCTGAAAGGAATTAAAGAAAGCTCTGTGTCTTAAACTTAATTATGGGCTAAAAAATGCTTTGACAGTTGCTTACCCAGTATAAGAATACTTGGATCAGAAAATAGGAGCCTGATGAAATCAGTTAGTTCTGAATGTTGACAGAATTCCTCGGCGCAGAGGTCTAATAAGAAAACTTGGTGGAGGACTGCGAGCTGAACCAGAGCAACTTTCTGGGTTGAGTTGCAACCAAACATGGGCTGCCACTCCATGTCAACTCCTACAACACCACCCCCCTGGAGCAGACCATGAAATTATTATTTTTTGTAATAAATAGAGCTTTTACCATCACTGGATGACAACTAAACATTTGTACCTTTAGGACAATGCTTCGACACCTGCGGAGAGCTTCTAGTGAGCCCACTAAGTGAACCTTGTCTTTGGTGAGAGGCACCTGGTAGAACTTCTGACGATGAGATGGAGGTGGTTCCCACTCCTCGTCTTCAGCTGAATTATTTGAATAGATCTGTCTGAAAAGTTGGGAATTTCTTGTTAATAAAAAGCTGAGACAAACAAGATCATACCATTATGAAAAGGGTATGATTTAGTTAGGTTAGGACAGGGGCAGAACACACTGGCAAAAAGAAAACACCATGTTTTTGGCATTTATATGACATTTCATGACGCCACAGTGTTGAAAGCAGAATAAAGCAATTTTGACAAGGGCCGCATGTGGTTAGAAAACAGCTCAACTGGGACTTAAATGCTTTTCTTTTGGGATGCTTTTGTTCTGCAGTGGTTAGGAGCCACCAAACGTAGTCCAAGAGCTTGGGGAACTGGTGAGTCAGGGAAGGCTGAGGCTCAGTGAAAGCTCGCCCACATAATTCTGATCGAGCAAGGAGGGACTCAAGTAGCGGCAACAGGAATGCTGCTTCAACTAAAAAGGTGTAAGCAGTTGTCAGAATTCCCCCGACCTAAAATGGGGCTTTATCCAGTGAGAACTTGCAATATCCAGAACATTAAAAATCCTGATATTTCTATGGTGGCAGATCGGAGCTGTGGAGGTCTAGTGGCTTAAAAGCATCAGAGCAAGTAAAGTTAACCTGCTCAATATTAGTCAGGTGGTCATTATGTAATGGCTCATCATCTCCTCACAAACAAAACAAAACACCACTGCTCAGTCGATGGACTTTAAAAGTAACAGAGCTGAACGATTTCAGGAAAAGACTGAACTGGAAATTTTCTAGGAGGAATTGAGATTTCACTTCGATTCACAATTTTCTCCAAATCAAGATTCAACACATTATTCACAATCTGGTCATCATACCACGAAAAAACTAAATTTTATCAATTTTTTCTCCAACTATTATCTTTTTAGCATTATTTTATTTCTTAATGTGCTTGTGAAGTAACTTGTGATTTTTATATAGAAAGGCACTTTATAAAAAATACGTCCTTGTTTTACTCTAATAAAGCAAGGAAGAAGCCCGAAGGTAAAATTGCTCTTAAATGTATTTAAAAACAAAAATGCATCGAGTTTTCCCAGCAGGCTGCACAATTGTTTTTCTGGGCGGTCTGATTGTTTCTTTCTAGCTGAAACACTGCTCTCACGCCGAACTCTGCACATTTTACACGCTTGTTTAAATTACTGTGTCATTAGAAAAATTCTAAGAGTTTTTAAAACAATTGAAGTTGCCCTTTAAAGTCTACTTAGTGATATTATGGTAAATCCCGTTCTGCAGCTGGAGAAGTCACCCACCCATGGTGCTGAAAGGCAAACATTCGCTGCAGAGACAGACGGCAACAGCCATTTTAATATCAGCAGCAGTAGCAGAGCTACGTAAGAACACCACTACGTAAGAAAAAAAAACAAGAAAATAACCAAAATGTGCAGCTTTCTCAGCTGAAGAACAGGGCTCAGCTCCGGTACACCCCTCACGCTGCTGCCGCTGAAACATGTGAAGAAAGCCTGGGTGTCTAAAATAGTTGATACAACAGATCCTAGGTCAGTCAGGAGCGCTACAAAATAACTACGCGTTGTTTGAAATCGCAATTTTTAAAAGTAAAACAAAAGAGGTGAAATCTTGCCAATTCTGTTAAAATAGGACAAAACATCTATGACAATACGAGCACAGTCTGACATAAAAAAGCTTTGGATCGAAGACGGTGTGTGCCAATCAAACGTCACGATAAGAGACGAATAATTTCTGTTATCAGAGACAGAGTCAAACAAAAAATACCAGATATTAGTTTAAAACACAGCTGCTGCTAAACAGACACGAGTTGTAACTTGTTTGTACATCGAACACGTTATGTTTGTTTGTTTGTTTGATTGTTTGGTCCACTCACTGCAGATCAGGGGGAAGGCTCTGCTGCGTCTCCCATACCCCAAAGGGAAGTCGATTTCTGGGGATGTTGTATCTCAGTGACCACTGAGAGGCTTTCTGCACACTACAGTACTTCACCAGCATCTCCACCAGATGGACCTGCAGCTCGAGGTCGTCTGCTACAACATTCTACACAGGCGTGACACAAACACCTTAGATAACTTACTGACACCGCTACACAGAACATGCAGGGGAATAAAAGCACCTACCTGCACATGATCGACCCAGTTCTCTTCTGTCATGCCTTTCTATGGGTAAAACATAAACAGATCAAAATGTTTTGCAGCCGTTGCATAAAGTATATAAAAATGCCTTTCTCGCAGAAACTATAGCGGCTGCTGCAAAACTTACTTCCACAAATGTCCTATACATGAGATAACGCAGAGTGTCCAGTCTCCTCTTGTGCAGTGCATTAGGACACAGTTCTGTGTTTGAAAGAAAAAAACAACATTAGAGTCATCTTGCCAGGGAAAAAAGTAAACAAAGATCACCACAAATGAAATAAGTCACCCACTTGGGTCCATTTTAAATTTCTCCATGAGTCGTAAAACGCTTTTGGTGAGCATTTTGGGCTGAATCTGGGCCATTTGGTGTTTGGACAGACGAAGGTGAGGAAATCGTCTATAGAAGCGCACAGAAACACAATCATCTGTAAACGTCTGTAAACACCCAATCACACATTCACACAGATAGCATACTTCCTTATGTCCTCCACACTGAAACTGGGCTGGCACCAGGAGTCTAGCAGGGTGACAAGTTGTTGCTCCAGCTGTTTGTGACCCTTGACGAACAACTCTGCCAAAGGCAGCTTATCCTGCAAGATCAGCGGTACAATCATCTGCAGGAGAAGGGTTGAGATGGACATTCAGGATGTTGGAACTCAAATAAAATGAACCCACAATAAAATTATCAAAACATGAAATACGTGATTAATCTTGCCTCTTCTGTGTTTAGGTCTTCCTGTAATTCCAGTTTTACGCTGAGAACTGCAGCCTGTAAAAAACAAAACACAGAATTAACCTTGTGTTCCAGTAAAAACTGTTGTTGTGAAATTACTGTTATCATCATCATGAGCGCTCACTTCTTTATAACATTTGAGAGCCTGCAGCCTGATAACCTGCAAGCGTGATATGGAGGGGTCCAAGGACTTGAGCCGGTAGATGCTGATGAGACTGTCCATGACGGCAGGCTGGGTATCTGTCATTAAGCTAAGAGCACGTCTCTGGAGAGCCACTGCCTGTTGTTCAGTGAATGAACTCATGTTTACCTGGATACAAAAACCCAGAAAAACAAACTAAAATAACATTAAGTAAGAAGAATAATCTAAAACAACAGTAAAATATGTAAATAAGCAGCTCGTTTAGAGAGGAATTCTGCACATGAGGCCATTTTAGTTTAGTTAAAAAGAGTGCAGGTGACCTGGAACTCTAGAACTTTGGGAGTGTGTGAAACCACAGCTGGTTCATCTACCTGAGGACGTTCCTTTATCCACGTCTGGAATTCCCTGAGAATGTGATAACCCAGGGTGTGGCTCCGACCCATTTGTTTGCCCGGACAGCTCTCCAGGATTGTTAACAAGGCCTCAAGAGGCTCAGACAGCTTTGAAAATCCTTGGAGGGCTGCCAAATGTAGCTGTGGGATGAGAAGGTGGGGATGGTGAAACTGTGATGTTAGGGTAAGAACTCTACCTGCTGGTTGTTGGGCACTTTCAGTCAGGTTTGTGTTGCTGTGTTTGACAATCAACTAAAACTACAGTACTGACTGGTGTAGTTCACTCAGCTGAGTTTTCATGAACAAGTGTTGGCAGTGTTTTTCTTATCTCTTCATCACTTAAGCAGACAGATAGTCTGAAGTTGAGTGGCTCTGGCAGCCGTTTCTGAAAAACATCATCAAGTGAGCTGTCAATGCAAGCAGAACGAGAGATAATGCAACGGTGAACTTGGCAACTTTTTTGAAAAAGGGCCTGGGTGTCTGGAGACACCTGCAGGAGGACCTGGCTATCACTGGATCCTATCCACGCCAAAGAGAGGAACTATTCACAACATCCAGCCAAGCGAAGAACACACTCTGTGAGGTAGACATGAGGTGGAAAACTTCAAAAGAGAAGCAGCACAACAAGGTGAAGTCCATGAATAAGGCTGAAGGACAGAAGGACTAGAAAGGACTTTACAAAATAAACTTCAAAGGGACATATGACTACTCTTCTTGAGTTATAATAGTTCTATGGTCAATACGAAGCATGTGTATGACGTCTTTTACACTAAGTCCCTCTCACATGAAGCAATTTCAGTAGTTTTATTCTTGACAGTTTCAGAACCTTCCAGAATGAGCTGTTTCAAGGATCTGTCACTTTAAAAAAACAAGCCGGAGTTGGCCACACCCATCCCTGCTCAGGCTGCTATAAGCTGAGAAGCTCCAATATCTGGGAGGGGCTTGGAGAAGAGCAGCTGCTCCTCCTGCAGCAGCAGCTCTCTTCCAGGTGAAAAGTGGTTCTATGCTATTGCCCTACAAACGGGGACTTTTGGGAATGACTTGTTTTAGGAACATAATTCTTAGAATCAAACACTGACAGTTTTTCCGCATTTGGAGAGTTTATAGAAGCAGTTAAGACCTAGTCTGGCAAGCCAAATTAAATAAATGTATTATTTAGTCTGGCAACGCTCCATTGACGGCTCTCGGTTGTGGGGCGGGTTCTACCATTGTCTTTCAAATGATCTCCGCATGCTACTGGACAATGATTGTGACATACTCACTGCAACAGCTTAAATGAGTAAATGAGGCGGTCCGCAGTTGAAGGAGAAAACACATATTTTTATGTTAAAAAAAAGAACTTAAATACATCTATCTGCTCCTGATTCTAATGAAGCCCAAGTTCTAATAGTCCAAAATTAATGTAAAAGCCGTTTCAAACGAGCTGTCGCCATCTTGATTCACTCTGTTGCATCATCCCACCCACCAGGCATATAGAGTGCCCTGATTGGCCCACAAAGCGGATAAAGCTCTGGGATTTGTTCACTAAGCAGATAGAGCACTATGATTGGCCCACCATTAAGGACCAATCACAGCTCTTTGTGTGTTTGAAACCCCTCTAGAGAGCTGCGATTGGCTAGCCAGAGTCCTGGTAGGGGCTGCAGAGGTTCCAGTGGAGCGTTCCTAGACCAAACTTTGCAAAGCAAGAATTTGGTCTAGTTCACTAGGCTAGTAAAGACCCACATGGAAATGTGAGTTTTGAATAAAATGTCCCATTTTGAATTAAGACAACTTTGCAGTTGTGCTGACAGTTTATACACTGTAAAATAAAAAACAGAGTTACCCATTTTATTTTAAAACAAAACCAGTTTTCTCTTAAATTTAAAAAGTCACAAGACAGTGAAAACATATACAAAAAAGAAAAGCAGGATAAATTATAATTTTTCTCTTGCAAATCTTCTGCAGATTCCTGCTTTAACCTTGGTTTGTTTGATAAAATAAACTAGATACTTTTTAAATATTTGAAAAACTGAAGCTAATCACAAGCAACGGCTACAGCTATTAGGAATGGAATGGTATTAGTGGTAATCCAGTGGCTGACCCATAGACATGAATACATAAATGCCCCATTAGGCGCTGGGGAGCGTAACAGCATCACCACCATACTGGATGGGTCTCCTCACTCTCCAAAGTCAATGGAGAGTGAGCAACTATGCCCGTTATTGTGCAGCCTATGGTTGCAAGAGCTAGCATACTATTGAAAACAGATCATGTAGGATTACTACTGACTTTTGCTTTTTCTTTTTTCTCTCTATTCTCTTTCTTTTCTTTCCTTTACTATTGACTTTTCTAGGCTACCTGATGGGGTTTTATATTTTAATTTATTTTGTCTAATTATATGTATAATTTAATTATCATGCTATACCTTGTGTCTGATTTTGTGAAAAAGCCTGATAATGTGTTTTTTAGTTGGGTAATTACCTTCCTCAGCAGAAATGAATGCACTAGGGGCAAATGGATACCCATCTAAAAAGGCAGCCGGCAACTACGGCAGCTCCCATAGGCGGTGAATCCATGAGGCGTCTACGTATATATATATGTCTGTGGGGTGACCAGCCTCGGTATGCTAGTCACTAGTCTCTCCAATGCTAACTCATTTCCCAGTGCAGTCGGCTCAGGTACCAGTGCCAGCATCATTAATCAGTAGCACAATCCTGAATGGATACAGCCTCCTGCTACAAGGATGTACCCACAGCTGAGTGAACAACAATCTAAAATACAGCACTATGATGTAACTTTGAGCACAGCAGACATTGAGGTTTGTGACTTGTAGAGTCTTCCATAAATAAACAAACTTGGGTATTAAAGCATCCTTCAAAAGAAAATAATATCTATGTGAGAGTGCCCTGAACCTCTGTTTAAATTTGCAAAACAGATGTCATCCACTCAATATCCTCCTCTCAAGTTAATTCAGAGCAACACAAATTCCTTCCTTCTGACAGACAGTCTGGTTTCCTCATTAACACACACACACACACACAGAGGGATCCGTTTTGCTCCATGCAAACACGCACAGACTGTTGCATACATGGAAGTGACATTGTGAAAGTGAGTCTTACCGTCTGCAGATCTTTCTGGTTCCACAGCTCAAAGAGTTGGTCTCTCAGCAAGGCAGGGTCAAGACCTGAGGGATCACACACACACACACACACACACACACACACACACACACACACACACACACACACACACACACACACACACACACACACACACACAAGCAGGTGGAAATTCACTTTGCCCTTCAACAAAAATCAAAGCCATCTGGGAGATTTTTAAATATTTTAGATTTTTGATTTTAGTTAAGATTTTAACTTAACTGTGAAACTGTTAAGTTAAACAAGCATTTCCAATTATATTTCTGTTCTTGGAAGGTTTTGATAAAATAGATAGAATTTCTGAAAAATGAGACAAATCTCTTCATTTAAAAATCTAGAATAATGTTCATTTTAAAAAGTGTCATAATTGATTTGAAGCTTTCAAATGAAGCAAATTCACTTGGATAAACCTACCAGCGTATCCCACCTGGTTGAGCAGTTTGGAGTTTGGCACAGGTCTTGTAAATCAGAGCTCAAATGTTGTAGCCAAACATCTTGAAAAGCCTTATTTGTTGCACCTAAAGCTGAGTTTACCTGTAATGTGATATGCAGGGGCTCATTTTTGCCAAAGCAGGCATAGCTGAGTAGATTTAATGCCAAATGTAATTTCTTTAGCAGGCATGGCGGAGAGGCTATAACAGTGGATTAGCAGCTGAGGCTGGTTGGACAGCAGAGGAACCCGGCATTAGCTCTGCATTCCTGCTGAATCTGCAGTAAATATTCTCAAGAGAAAAACTTTCTGCACCGTTTTGGTTGAGTTATAAACTGTAGAGAAGCTTGGAAACAGAAGTATGAGATTTTATCTTTTTTTTGTCTGCTTGTTTGACCAATCCCCCCTAAAGCTCCACCTTCTTTCCCTGTCGCTCGCGCTGTGTGGGCTCCTGCGTACCTGCCACCCTCCCCCTCAGCCCCCTTTCCTTCCCAGGGCTAGTTTTCCTGTTCTCCTCACCCTCCCCGCACCAGCCTCTCTTGATTTTGTCTCGGATTTCCCCAGGAAAAAGGCTACGCTCTGGTCATGCTGTAAAAAATACAGTCTTCCTGATGCAGCGCCTGAGAAAGCGGACCAAAAGTCCTCTCTGTGTTGGCGTCTAATCTCTTCCCGCCCGACACATTCAGCCTTTTTTTTTCCCTACAGCATTTTCCAACTCCTTTTCTTGAGCCTTTTTTAATTCCTCTTGTGGCTTTTGGGATTGCTTAAAATCTCTAGAAAAATCTAATAAATTCTTCCCTATAAATATGCCACCACTTTTACAAGAATATTGCAAACTTCGCCTGAATGCCATTTTTATTTCTAAATGTCAACAGAGCAGAATAATGAAAAAAAAACTCCTCACTATGTGCCAAAACCAGAAAAGTAAAGACTTTTTGTTATGACTTGCTTATGTGTTTTTATTTGGGACGGTAACAAGAAACAACAGCAGCCAGTCTGCATGTTCTGAACCTTTTATTTCAGCTAGTTTTCAAGAAGTCCAGCTTTCTAAATGTTGATTCATTATTACTCAAAGCCTGGTTAAGTGGTGTGGTTTGTAAAGTACACCGGTTATACCTTAAATAGACAAAGACCTGTATAATAAAATGACACTGCTAGGGTTCCTTCAAACGTCCTGTAATTTAAAACATATGAATGGCTGCAGGATTCCCTCTGCTCCTCTCCGTGCTTCCCTGCTGTTATATACCCCACTCTGGCCCATTCATCCCAGCGCCGAACATGCAGCAGACTACGTGCACGGGGACTCACACAGTCACAAACAGCACAGCCCACTTGAGTCCCACTGTTTGGATGAGAGGAATGTTGAGCATGTAGCTTCTTTATAGTCTTGGCTGGAAAGCGAGTGACAGAGCTAGAGGCTCCCCCATTCATTACGACATAATGACCCTATCGCCACATTCAAATGCACGGACACGCGGAGTCCATGAACTCATTCACTTCTGGGAAGGTGACATTTTTTATTTTATTTTAGATGGATGGGGTGGAGGCAGAAACGTGTGCTTTTCTATTTTTTTTTACAGATTCTCAATTTCTTCCAACTTTTGTGAAGCATGTTTTTATTCCTTTTAAGATTAAATTCACAGGCAGCTGACTGTATGTTGTCTAGTCACAGCCAAAATAAAACAAGCATCGATATCAAGTATCTAAATCAGGTGGTTGTTTGATTACAGCCACCATAACTGCTTCAGTGTAACTTGGAGGTCTCACACAAATCTACTGGAAAGACGCCACAACATTCTTTAATACACAAACTATACAAACTCAAAAGGAAGTTGTGGATAAGTACTAGTACTAGTTTATTATGCCTTTTAAGGATGTATTAACTTGTCAATTGGCTATTTCCAGGGGAGGCCCAACCAGCTGGTTCAAGCTGCAATGGCGAATCTACAGAACAAGCTAGCTTTTGAACATAAACATGGTAACGGAACACAAACCCCTCCCCGTGAGTAACTTCCCCTGGCCATGTCAGTCGGAACCTGAAACCCGCATTTCCAGAGGAAACGAGACAGCGCTGAACACCAGTTGCCGTTTCCTAGATCCAAACGTCTTCTGTTGTCCGTGACTTCAAATGGTGTATTTATTGGGGGGACTCTGGTAGTTTGTCCTAAAGTTGAAGTGGTAGCAGCTGTTTGCTGTTTCTCCTTCTCTGAAGTTCTTGAGCGGAGAACCTCTCATGCCAGTGGTGTTCTGTTGCTAAATATGCGAGTGTGTAATGAATAGAGGACCCAGGGAAGTGTGGCGGTTCAGCAAGACTGACAACCGGATGGTCCAACATTTGCTTTTGGTCTGAAACGTCTTATTGGTGGAGGCTTTTAGACCTCTCGAGAGAACCACTCGATTTTTTTCATTTCTTTTTTAATCTCCACAATATATTTATAGAGTTATCATGCTAGGAACTAGAAGTGAGCCACATCACAGCTGAGCTTTAAATTAGATAACAGCAACACAACACCATCACTGACTTGCAATGTTGATGTTTTACCTCCACAAGTTACACAAGCCTGGAGGAGCTCTGCTGTGTGGTGGAGTTGCTAATGCTAACAGTTAGCTTCTAATAGATATGGGGAACTGTGGGTCATCTCCATGCCGTGTTTTTCTTCAGTTCAGCATTAAGCCAGGTTATTCCAATCAGCACAGTGAATGAGCCTTGTTCAGTTGTTGAGCAGAACAAAATCACGGTATGGAGTTGGCTTGTTGATGCCACAATTCCCATATCTGGCTTCTACTAGCCGAGAACTTCTCTGCTCTTTCCTGGACGCGTCTTTTGGAATTCTAGGGTGATCAAGAAAGGTCCCGCCTTTCTTGCCTCTGATTGGCTAGAAGGGCTCTACTACGATTGGCTGAAAATTTGCGGGGACGGCAGACAACAGCGGCATTCGCTTGCCTGAAAGCTAAGTAAGCAAAGCAACTGATGTGGATATCTGAGCAGGGGTAAATATGTCTTTGTGAGAACGCTAATATTAGCTTTTCAAAAGCCACGTTAAAAATAATAGGCATGCCCTCAAATGTTCACCTAATCTGTTGTTTGCTGATGACATAGATGCCAGTTCAATATACTTATTCTCTCTCTCTCTCTCTCTCTCTCTCTCTCACACACACACACACACACACACACACACACACACACACACACACACACATATTCTGTACTTGTTCAATAAAATCTGTGATGTAATCGGTGTGGTGTATTGTCATGATCATGCCTTTTGATAACAATTTGGAAATACGTTAAGCAAGCAGGATGAAAGTGAGGGCACATCTTTCATGTGTTTAAATCTGTATCTTTAATTGAAATTAATTCAAAGCTGATTATGATTTAGACCTATTTTTCATCAGTTTTCATTATTCTAGAAGAGAAACAGACCTGCTGCTCACAGCTGGGTAAAATAGGGCAATTTTATTATATTTCATACCCAGGTAAGGCACACACGTTTATCCTATGTACTCTGCTGTAATGAGATAACCTCTATGCTTTAGAGCCACAGACATAAAGTAAGTCCCACAGTGTGGTAAATGCAACAAGATTTATAAGTTCACTTCTTACGTTTTTCAGTTTTTAATCAATGAAACAAAAAAAACTTTTGCACAACAAGACAGAATGGCGCTAAGTTCTTTTTTTCTAAAAATAAAAAAGTAATTAAAAAAAATCCCAAAAACAGCTGTTCTGTTGGTGGCAAGAGGACAGTCTGCATGATGGTCTGCACTTAGCAAGGGAAGACGGTTTGCTGCTAAATAAAATAGCCAATCATAGTAGAGCCCAGGGACGAAATTTTGATTTCAGAAGTGGGGGGGACACAGCAGGCTTGTGCGGATTTGGGGTGGGGGGTGTTATGTAAAGACCCCTTGACGCGTCACGTGCCCATCTCAATAATTTTTCCATCCTCTATATATATATATATCAAAGTTAAAAAATGTACAACTCTATTATTATTTTTATTTATTATCATTATTGAAGTGCAGTTTTGGCTGTTGACAATGGATAGGCCATTGTATTTATTGTTTTGGGTCTTTTTTATTGTTTTTGGTGCAACATTTTCTAACAGGGAGTGAGATTCCTTTTTTATTCAATTTTTGTTTGTTATTTTTTTTCATTTAGAAGTTCTGGTTCTGGACATTTCAATGTTAAATTAAGGTTTATTTGTTGCATTTTAAAGGGTGTACTTGCATTATTATGATATATTAACATTATATTAGTGGTTATTTTGGTCTAGATAATGTTGACAATATCGTTTATCATCAACAATTTGTTGGACAAAATATCGTCCAGCAAAATGTGTTACTTTCCCAGGCCTAGTCAAAAGTATAAAAAGTATTTATACATAAACGGTCCCTCCTGAGATCTGGCCGTTTGTTCATTTGCTGTGTTAGAGGACATGCTGAACTAATGTTTTACACATGATCATCACCCTAACATTTGAGTGTATAAAAACATATTAAATATGTTTTTTCCCTTAAAAGTGTTTAAACAGTTGTTGCATTTCAACACACAAAAAATAAATGGAAAAAATAAGATAAATCTAATGAAAAGTGTACATCTTTGACATTAAGCTTAAAAAATCTGTTGACGATGATGATACTGTTCATTTTTCAGAGCTTTTTAATGTGAAAATATACATTGCAATAGATAAGTTTACAATAAAGTTAAATGATAAAAGTTTTGAAGTTACACTTCTACTACTACTACTACTAGTAATAATAATTATGATGATAATAGTAATAATAATAATAAAAATAATTATAATAATACGAATAAATTGTGTCCGAGGAGTCAGTTATGTGGAGGAGATGAGTTTGTAAAAGTTAGTTTTGAGTATGTTTGTGAAGGAGGAGGTGAGTCTGAGCTTAATGCAGGGGTGTCACATGTCCAACTTACGTTTTGACTTTGAAAGAAGTCTCTTATATCCACTTTTCGTTTTCTTGACATGCTGCCTCCTGGCTGTGCCTAACTACCAAAGACTCACAAATGAACACTTATTCAAATGTTATGTAATGGAAGCTGAGCTGAGCTCTGATATTACACAGCGTCTATTTGACGATGTGACTCAGTACCGGTGTTCCCTAGCGGCTCCAAACTAGCAAAACAACGTGAGCACGTTCTGACTGTTTCCAACTTGAGTGACAGCAGCAACAGCCAATAATACGTTAGCAAGTATCAGCAGAGCCAATAGATTATCTTTTGGGCGGGTCTAATAGTAAACCGGTTTCCGTTTCGGTCCTAGTGCTCAACCAAATCCATTTAATGGAGCGTAACATTGTTTTTGGACGGAAAAAAGTGCAGGGGACCAAAACTGCCTTTTGAAAAAGTGGGGGGGACATGTCCCACCCGTCCCCCCCCAAAATTACGTCCCAGGTAGAGCCCATCTAGCCAATCAGAGGTGAGAAAGGCAGGACCTTCCTTGGTCACTCTAGAATTCCAAAAGATGCTTCCTGGACGCTTAACCAGCAGCAGCCTTCCCCGTTGTGAGTCAAGATGGGCGAGTCTGTGAATGTTAAGTGACAGTGTGACGTAGATCTGTCAGGCTTTTCAAATCCTAGCATTTCACCACCTATTTTCTATCAGAAGCTAATGCAGGAGATAGGTGTAGGAGACTATTTTCCTGTTCAGCCTGGATGAAAAACTCACAATCAGAAATAAAATTTTAAAATGTTTTATTTTCAGAGTTCCACACCTTTAAAGGCCATTTACATCACAGCAAAGTGTCATGGTCTTCCAAATTCAAAAGACACTCAAAATGTGTCCTCCTTTTCCCCAAATCTTGCAGACAGGAAATGTGTATCCTCATACAATCTTTAGGGACAGCTATTTCTTCTAATTCACTGTTAGCATTGTTAGCTGAATGTTAGCCTCTGGCCTTCTTTACCTGATATTAAAGTAAAACAAAAATTTGTGACTTCTTAAGGGTACAAGAAAAAACTTCTGTATCACTCCTGTTGCTGTCTTAGGATATTTACAAAATGCTGCAGCGTTTTGCAGGTTAGTGTTGAATTAAAAATGCCAGCACTGCAGCGTTAGCTCGCACAGACATGGCCATCCCAAAGGTTTACAGATTATAAACAAAGACTACATCTCTCTTTGGCCATTTTGAAAGGCTAAAAACTGACAACCCCCCAGCCGGCTGAGAAGGACATCAGTTTCTGTATAACCTTCTTTTGTCTCTTTCAAAGGCTAAACTAGCATGTGTTTTGTGGTGGTATTTTCAGAAGTAAAAATATAAAACAAGTAAAAAGAAAAACACCTCCATTACTTCCAGGTATTACGACTACAGGCTCTGTAGCAGAAAATAATTTTTTTTATGTATACCCACTAGGACATCTGGGCTTCCGTAGAAGCTTTGCCCTGTTTTGTAGCAACATTTAGGCCCATGCTTTCTGTGACTGATCAATCAAGAAGTGTAATCAATTTGGTTAAGTCTACAAGTGTTTCAAACTAATGTATAAATGTTACCAAAAAAAAGCCTAGTTGACTGTTGTCCCAGATGTCTCTGTCATCAGGCATTTTATGCCTATCTGTTAATTATGAAATTATAAATTAATTTTGGTCTCATAATTTATACTTACAACTTTTAACACAACTAAATTACACAACTCTGCCATCTGCTGACATAAATCAGTAGGCTTTACAGCATCATCCTAGAAAAACTTTTAATACATTGTGTCTTTTTTGTGAACAAAATGCATATTTTTGAGGGTTTTTATTCCACCTGTGGACACTTTGAGGATGGAGAAATTTGGTGACGTGAACACAGGTCAAAATTTAGCCTCCAGCACGTGACAGTTTCTGTGTGTGCTAGAATCATCGCTTCATACATTCAGTTTGACAAGTTGCATCACAAAGCTTTCCATGTGTTTTGGCTGAAGTGAAACATAAATACAGTGTGTTTCACAACTTAGTGATCACATTAGTGATTTAATAGTGTTCAATAATTCTGATTACAACAGACTAAAATAATTGTGACAGTATTTTTTCCAGTCGTTGCTCTACAGCTACTTTGAAACAGAAAAGGACTGGACAGTATACAGCTAGAAGAAACTGCTTTTGTTTGCAATTTAATTACAATTATTTTTTTATTGTTTTTTTTTTGGCATGAATGCTTTATAAATAAATAGAAAGTATTTGAACTAAACATGTAAATAAAATCCTGAAAAACACATGAAATGAAATGAAATTAAATAACTGGGGTTTGGTCATTCAAACCCCTCAGTCAGTAAGACTATTTGTATTATTAATGTCCTTATTAAATTAGATGAAGAAAATATATATGGTTTAATTAAACATAACCACAAAGTTTCAACACAACATTTTATGTAAATATCTGAGTGGTGCAACAATAGATTTGCTTTAATAACAGCTGTTATTTTCATCTCTACTTTAAAAATCCTAACATCTATATTGATGGAAATACTAATTTAAAAAGCTGATTAAAATGTATTTTATTATTTATAAGGGAATCTGCAACATTGCCGTGTGTAATAAAACGGAGGTACTCACCCATTTTCTCTGGAATAGTATGATTCATTACTGCCACTGGATGGCGAGCTGCTTTATCTCTGTAAAAACAGTCATCTAGTTAAATGCAAAACAGTCACATAATAAAAATGGTAGTTTTGTCACATGTGACTGTGAGGATTTGATACTTTTTAATAAGCAGGAACATCCATCTTTGATGATCATAGCTCACAATTATACATTTGAAAGTGGACAAAAAGGTCTCAAAAATGCTTTTATTTTTCAAATGAATGGTGTTTCTCACACGATATGCATCAGTGAGCTTCAAGAGAGGAGCAATAGAAATTTATGAATTTATGTTAATGATAAATGTCTCTGGTACATGATTAATTTTGATGACTGCGTTCATCTGGTGTGACTAGTGTGATTGTAGAACATAAGCTTCAAATTGTGGTAATTTACTCATTTTCTGTATTTAGATCTTAAAATATTTATCCCCAAAAGATGTTTCCAGTTAGCCAAACATGAATTCGTTTTCTTTACTGATGTCTGCATCTTCCTAGCTTGCCTCTAGTTCTGGTTTCTATGGTAAAGACGCATTGAAGGTAACTCTTTACCTTTTATCCCCGCCTAGTGGTGAGGGATAGCGTCCCAACCATAAACATCTAATATTTTCTGCAAAAACGCGTTAGCTGATCTGGCTTCATTGAATCAAGATCATCCCACGATGAAAGCTGCTTTAAAAATGCGCATTTACGCCCCAAACGTCGACACAATTCGTGTCGTGAAAAGGCCAAAAGTTGACTCAGTCGGTGTAAGCTAGTTCACATACCTAACTGCTAAATTGCTCTTCTTCACACATTCACTTCATTTTTATAATGACGACATTTATGTATAAAGGTAAAAAGGATAAAACATTTTGTTATTTATGCTAATAAACTTACCAACAACTACTTTGTATTTAGTCGGCAGGTAAGCTAGCTTACTTGATATACGTCGTCAGTTTGCTTTAGCCAACTTTCGCGTGGGTAAATTATTCCCAAGTTTAGGTTTCAGGCAGTGAATTGGTATATTGTAGTGTGTTGCAGTAGTTGATCCATTGTGCTGGTATCGATTGGTACATGCTCGGGCTGGGGGGCTGTGAAGCTAGCCATGACTGGAGTGAATTTTGAGTTTGTTCTGCAGCACATGTTGAAGTGCAAAATAAACGTTACATGCATGGTGCTTTAACGTGAGTTTCTGAGGTCCTCATTATTTTCGTGTTTGAAAGAAACACAACATATGTGTGGTCTAGCCTGGATATTTCTTTTTTGCTGATATTAAGGCAACATACTTTAATTATATCATAGCATGACTACATGTTCTGCAAGAAATTACTTAATCAATAACTGAAATAATACAGTAATTATTAATCCTGTAAGACTAAGAAAAGGGCTAAATTTGCTCACTTTCTTGTTCTAGTAGTAGATGGATTTAAGAGGACTTTCCTGCGGTTACAGTGAACTACTGCCATCTTCTGGTCAAAATATGCAATACAGACCAACAGTGTGTAAACAACAGAAAGCGATAATGGAATTAGTGGAGGCGGTTAAAGTCCTAAGGAAAAAAAACGAGGAAAAGAACAGGAAAATCACCTTACTGGAAGAAAGAGTGTTAGAACTGGAACAATATTCAAGAATAAATTATGTAATAGTGACAGGACTTGAAACAACACACCAAACTTATGCGAGAGCAACAGCTACAGAGAGTGGAGAACCACCTGAACAAGAATTAAACAACTTAGAAAGGCAGGTAATGGACTTCCTTGGTAGCAAAGGGATACACAGAGGCCAAGGACGTAGAGGGGTGTCATCCTCTTCCATGTAAAAATAAAAATCAGAAACCTGCAATCCTTATCAGATTTATGAACAGAAAACACAACAAAGAACTGCTTAAACAAGGAAGGAAGCTGAAGGGAACCAATGTATATATAAATGAACACCTAATCAAGAAAAATGCAGACAATGCAAGGCAAGCGAGACTTCTGAGAAAGCAAAAGAAAATACAGTCAACATGGACTTCAAACTGTAAGGTATTCATTAAACTGAATGGGTCTCTGGAGCAGGCAAAGATTCTGATCATTAAGGAACTAACAGAACTAGAAAAATACAAGTTATAAATGAGTATATAAAACAAGTTTACAAACTATGGTTAAGATCATCAGAATTTATGCTTCCAAACTTATTTTGGATACTGTAAAAACAACATGGAAAACTCGGTTTGATATTGGTCTTGATTCAAACTGGCAAAAATCACTCAACTGAAATGAATACAGATGATAAAATATATGATATTGACAATAAAATAGATGGAAATTTATATGAATTAAACATAAGATGTGATTATATTGGAGAAGATCAATTGAACTGTGGGAGAATGACTAAGGACACAATGTCAATTATCCACATTAGTAATAGAAGCTTATTTCCTAAGTTATTAATTATCAAAGATTATTTAAATAAATTCGAAAACCAATTTAGTGTGATTGCTATAACAGAGACTTGGCTCAAAGATGACATGATGGATGAAGTACAAATGGAAGGGTATGAACTTTATTTTGTAAATAGAAAAAATAAAAGAGGTGGTGGGGTTGCCCTGTACATAAAATCAGATCTAAAATGTAAACTAGTTAAGGAAAGGACAATGATGGAAGATAACGTTATGGTAATTGTAACGGTAGAAATCAGCAATGAAGCTGCTAAAAATACTTTAATTAGTTGTGTTTATAGAGCACCGGGGTCATGTATTGGGACATTTAATGAAAAAAATTATTAAATTGGTTGATTACATTAAATGCAAAACATTATTTCTATGTGGGGACATTAATATTAATTTAGAACATGAGGCTGGACAGATAACTAAGGATTTTGCAGATTCACTGTAGGTTTATTTCCCTTGATAAACAAACCAACCAGAATTACAACTCGGACTGCGACAACCATTGATAATATATTCACTAACAGTAAGGATGATGCCAGGAAAACAGGGATATTATTGACGGATATTAGTGACCATCTACTTGTTTTCGCAGTGGTCAAATACAAACATTCCATAAATCAAAACATCACCATGAACTACAGAAGAGATAAATTAGTTAAAGCCATGGAGGCATTAAACAAAGATCTTAATAAACAAAATTGGAAGGAGGTATACGTCAGTGATGTCAACGCTGTATACACATCCTTCATGAAAATACTGTTGAAGTCATATAATGACAACTGCAAATTAATCAAATCTATAGGTAAAAGGGAAAATCAACCTTGGATGACTAAGGGATTAAAATAATGTGTGTGTAAAAAAGAATAATTTATGTAAGAGTTTTTTTTAAATTGCAAACAAGAGAAGCAGAAGATACATAGATATAAAAAATGTAAAAATAAATTGGTAACAATAATTAGGAAGCAAAAAAAATTATTGGTAATCTATTGAATCAGAATAAAAATAACACAAAAGCTACTTGGGGAATAATAAACAGTGTGACTAATAGAGAGAAAACAAAATCCAGTATTCCAAATCACTTTGTCAAGGACAAAAAAGATATTTATGATGATAAAGAAATCACTGATGAGTTTAATGATTTTTTTGTAAATGTAGGTAGGAGTTTGATGGAGAACAATCCAATAATAGAAGATAAATTGACCACAATGATTAATACTGTCAATAGTATTGTCCTTGACAAAGTAGATAAAGAAGAAATATGAAACACTGTAAAAAACTGTGGAAACAAACAATCAACCGATTATCAGGACCTGGACATGATAACTGTTAAAACCATCATAGAATCTGTCATTGAACCATTCACTTACATTTGTAATCTATCACTTTCTACTGGAACTTTTCCTGACACAATGAAAACAGCAAAAGTCATTCCTTTGTATAAGAGTGGTGATAAACAAAGTTTCAATAATTACAGGCCGGTGTCACTGCTTCCACTGTTTTCTAAAATATTGGAAAAAGTATTTGTATCAAGGTCAGATAAATTAATCGAAAAAAATAATATTTTAAGCAATGAACAATCTGGGTTTAGAACTAAACATTCCACAGCAATGGCGATAATGGAATTAACGGATAAAATATCAACAGCAATTGACAATAAAAATGACTTTGTTAGTGTTGTCATTGATTTGAAAAAGCTTTTGACGTCATTGATCACTCAAGGTTACTTCGAAAATTAAGTCAGTATGGAATAAGAGGTGTGGCTCATCAATGGGTTAAAACTTATTTAGAACAAAGGAAACTGTTTGTTCAGATAAAGGACTATAAATCAAAACTATGTGAAATTAATTGTGGAGTGCCACAAGGGTCGGTCCTCTGACCAAAACTGTTCATTTTGTTTATTAACGACTTGGTAAATGTATCTAAGATACTCGGTACCATTCTATTTGCAGATGATACAACACTGTTTTACTCAGGATCAAATATTGAGGAGGTGGCTAAAGTGATTGATGAACTGATTAAAATTAAAAACTGGTTTGATATAAATAGATTGACACTGAATCTTAATAAAACAAATTTTATACCGTTTAATGATAAAAAGAACAGTGATGTGTCATTGGAAATAGATCGGATTGCAATTCAAAGAGTAAAATAAACTAAATTTCCTGGAGTTCTTATTGATGAAGACCTGTCATGGAAATCCCATATTAGTTAAATAAAAGGTTATTTTGCCAATTCCTTAGGAGTATTACAAAGAGTCAAGTTTTTACTGACTAATTCTGGTTTGATGGCATTGTACAATTCACTGATTGTTCCATACTTGACTTACTGTGTAGAAATCTGGGGAGCAACATACAAAAACTATACACAACCCTTATTTATTTTACAGAAAAGAGCTCTGAGAATCATCAATTATAGTGGCTGTAGAGATCCATCGAACCCATTGTTTATTCAATATAAATTACTGAAATTTCATGATTTAAAAGACTGGAAAATCTTACAAACCATGTATAAAGCCAATATAAGTACTCTGCCAACAAACATTGAGGGGATATTTGAAAAGAGAACTAGGAATTATGAAAACTGATGTGTTTACAGAACCCAGATTTAGAACTAAAATTGAGTGGAATATATCTGTAAATGGTGTTAAATTATGGAATAACCTTAAAAGGGAAATTTAAAAAACTCTGTCATTTAATATATTCAAAAATGTACCAAATTGAGTGTACTAAATAATTATGAAAATGTAAATTAAATCAATGTGTCACAATTCGGTGTTGGTAGGACCCAAAATGCAGGAACCCAAGATGACACGAGGCAGGAGATGATACAAAGTAAAATCCTTTTATTAGGATGAATGAAACAAAAATATATCCAAATGGGCTGGAGCCAAAAAACCAATATATCCAAAAGAGCTGAGCAGGAGATCAAAACACTAGAGACAACACAAGAAGACTGACAGAATTACCGCAATGGACCGACACGAGACAAAGACAAGACAGGGCTTAAATAACAGGGAGGAGTAATTAACAGGAAGTAGGTGTGAGGAGTGAGGGCTGGAGGGAAGGCAGGTGACAATAATTACCTAAATGGGGAAACAGAACCAAGGGAGGACAGATAAACTTAAAACTACAAATCCAAACTAAAAGGCTGCGGGAAGGACTAACACACACACAGACATAAATAACTCACACACACATATACTGGGCTGGGGAACAAGAGGCTGGAGCTGCAACTGGAGGGAGAGAGGATAACTAAATGAACACCAGACCTGAGGGAATGATAAAAAGGCTTACAAACAGAAGACACAATAGTGAGACGCAGACAAAGTACACATGAGGGCACTATGAGACACAGAAGGGAAACTAGAGAGGATGGAGAAACATCAGGAGACACATAAAGGAGGGGGCTGACGCAGACC